TTTCCCAAAATGTTTTGTAGAAAAAATCCTAAGAGAATAATTTCTATGGAAACATAAAAATCAGGTAAATTTTCTATTCTTTATTATCCAAAATTTTTAACAAAATCATTAAATTTTCTGTTTCTAGTATACAAATTTTACCCCACAAAATAATCTTGATAACAAATCCCAAAAACGCCTCCCCCTGAATTTCCCCAAAAACCTCTCACCCCCAACCTAACACGTATGACAAAATTCAACAGAAAACCTAGCGAATTCGCTAGAAAATTCTATTGAAATTCTATAAGAATTCTATGAAAAATTCTATTTTTTTTGCGCGGATTCTATTATATATTCGATAAGAAATAGATTTCGAATTTTTCCCTCGACATTTTTTCTATTAGAAATTATTCCGCACAAATTTTTCCACTGGATTTTGTGTTATTTTGCATTACAGAATCATTCTTATAGAAAAAATCTCAAGAGAAAATTCCAAACAGAAATTCGAAATCTATTGACCTTTTCTTATCGAATATCGAATAGAAACCCGCAAAAAAGAATAGAATTTACTCAGTTTAAAAAATTAGATCAACATATTTTAAACCTTCATTAATGTAAGGGTCAAATTCTCGTAATATTACAGAAATTTAATATTCATGGCGATCCCTGTATGAAATTCAGACATTCGTTTTTGCCGTTCCCGGACAATTGAAAATCCTCGAAAAAAAAAATGGCAATAGCGATGATAACTCGCCAAATGTGAAGATTTATGAATGAACCGGTATACAGCTGGGCTGGGTCGATAGAGCATCCCCCTCAGTCTGTAGTAATCAATACGAATGGGGAGGTGGGGTGTTCTCTTTCGGGGGTAGGAGTAGAGGAACACAAATGGTACAGTCCATTCAGTAGAACCTGTAGGCCTTCTATCGATTGCGTAGGTGGTTGTTACAACCCCCTTTCATTCTCCCACCACTTCACCTCGAGTACGTAGGTATATTCATACCAGTGTACATAGCTCCTCCGGTATTGGTTGTTGGATGTCAAGTGGGAGATGAGGGGAAGTTTTTGGTAAGAATCAAATGGAATTCCTTCACAAGATGCCCAAGAATTTCATTCTCCCTCCCCCACTCCACCCCCAGCCCCCACCAATGCCCGAGAAATAGCGTAGGTGCGGTTGTCGTGTTCTGGGTATTCGTCATGTGTCCTTAATTTCACGCGAAACTGGAGGTATAGGGGAGATTTATTGCGATGAATGGAACATATGATAGTGGGTGGATTTAATTTCATTACTTATTTTTAATGGTTTAAGAAAATTCTTGGAGTTTAATTTGCATGACATTATTATATTCAATTTAATTGTTGAATAAAACTTATTTTAAGAGTTTAATTACCAATCGTCCTTAATTTATTGCAATGACCTGAATGTGCTCAAGAAGAATTTAATTCAATTCGCATTAAGGATGTTCGACACCCTTTTAGCCAAAATTGACGTTGTTTTCATTTTTCTGGCAAATTATCGATGGGGGTGACGTGAAAAAATATACCGATTTTGTGGTTTGTCATTCTTTAATGGCTCACGAAGTAGTGGTGCGATAATTTTCATGCGTTTTTTCTACAGTTTTGTGATTCTTTTTAAAAGTTTTGAGAAAACGCAGGAAAATGTTCGCACCACCTTAAAATTTCGTCAGTTATTAAATAATGACAAAACGCAAAAACGTTATATTTTTTCACGTCAATTCCATCATAAGTTTGCCAGAAAAATTAAAAAAACGTGAATTTTGGCAGAAAGGGTGTAGAACATCCTTAAGTCCTGCCATTTAAATTGTAAAATCAACCCCATTTTATTATAAATATGTGGAAATCTGCGAGCTAACGAAATTTTTATGACAGTTTCCATCAAAATCCCTGCAGAACATTCTGAAATCCTAGAATAGTTTCGAAATTTCCAATTGCTCTCAATTTATTGCGATGAATGGAACATATGATAGTGGGTGGATTTAATTTCATTACTTATTTTAATGGTTTGAGAATTCTCGGAGTTTAATTTACATGACATTATTATATTCAATGTAATTGTTGAATGAAACTAATTTTAAGAGAAGTCCTAATCGTTTTGTCCTTAATTTATAGCAATGGCCTGAATATGTCCCAGAAGAATTTAATTCAATTCGCATTAACGTCTGCCATTTACATTCACGCTCTTGAATGAAGGTTTCCATCACCAATTATTACATTCAACTCAATTAGCAACTTAAATTATCCCTCAAAACACTAAATGATAGTAACTTTCAAAAACAAAAAATAAATCTCATCGAAAATTCCTTGAACACTACCTACCACCATTTACGCTAAAAATCTCCATAAAATCGGAAGCCCTCAACACAGAGAAAAAAGTTGGAGGAAAATTACGGAACAAGTCAAGTAATCGTGGAGCAAATTCGATGGTCAGTACTTTTTCGCCCTATATCGGGAAAAAAGTACTGGATGAATAGGGGAATTTCCTCCGTTGGCCCGGGAAAATCTACTGAACGTGAGGGTAATTTCTGGCAAAACTGTAAAATTTACTCTGCATTCCGTCGAAAATTATCCCAGTGAACGTGAATGGTTGCTCAATATTGCGTCTAATTTTCCTGTATCGGCGAATTATTTTAATTTCACTTCCATGTGTCCCCCAGACCTTCAGATGGAGTAAAGAAAGAAAAACCCTACCGGTGTGAAAAATTTTACTGTACAGTAGGATAATTTTTGCATCCATAGATATTTTTTTTATTGAACGAATCGTAAAATATCCTCCACAACCCGATATTTTTTCATTGAATTACATCTCTCTCCACGATTACCCTTCACACACTGTTAAAATGTTTTTAAAATTTCATGAAAAATATGATACTAATTCTCATAAGAGTGACATTGAATCGAATTTCAGGTAGAACTTGAGGAAATTCATGCGTTTTAAGTGGGAGTGAGATGAAAAGATTTACAACTTGATTGAATTCTCACTGGAACATGAATATTCATGAACAAAATAACATGAATTTTCAATTTTTCCCCGAATCAATTGAAAAATCACGTATTTTATTGACTTCCAGATCATTTGAACAGACAATCAATATTTAATTGTCCAATGACAAGGTTTCCCAAAATTTCAATAAAACTTGGACACGACAAAGATTTCCGGAAAAATATTTAATTGTTTAAATTAAAAAATATTGTTTAAATTCAAAAATATTTAACAATGCCCCCTAAATTGTGCCCCAGTTTTCAAGGCCCTTCATATTCTCCTTCCTCCCACGAAGAATTTCCGAATGAGCCCCCGCCCCACTGGACCACCCACCCATCGAACCCGAAAAAACCCCACTGAATCGATAATGAAACTCCCAAACACAAGAAGCCTTAAAACCCCTCAAGACGTCTACTCATCCCTCAAAGGGTTGATCACGCCTTACGTCATTCGTTCTGACGTTGAAACAAGGGGGTATCCATTCATTCACCCCCGCACCCCTCCTATATCTCTTACATCCTCCCCAGGCCGAGGATCGGAAGGAATTTACAATCCCAGACTGGGATCGACGGCCCTTCCCCTCAGCCCACCCAATCCCAATAAAAATAGCACCCAACGTGTTCCGATCTCCGGAGTGAGTCCCCAGAGTCCCCGCGCGCTGAAAAATGTGCCCAAAGGGTTCACCGAGCGGGTCATCTCCAAAATCATCAAGCCACCATGTGCATTAAAGTAGCTCTACCCTTACGGTAAATTCAAAGATTATTGAAAACTGAAAAAAAATTGCAGAAAACTCGATTACATTCGGAATTCTAATTTTTTTCTCAATTCAATTATCGTTTTGGTTTTTCAAGGAAGAAATGTTTAAAAATCAAGATTTAACCCAGTGTCTTATGTGAAAATCAACATTTCCATTGTAATCAAAGATTAAAATCTGAATTTTTTTTCATTAGATGTGAAAAATTCAAGAATTTTTTAGACACCTCATAAAAAATAATCCACCGTTTTGCAAACAAGTTTTATTATTTATTTATAAGAGGGAAATGTTTGAAAAAATATCACTATTTTGCGAAATTTAATTGAGATAATACTGACTGGGTATGAATTTTTTCAAATTTTTTCATGCAATTTAATTGAAAAATTTAAAAACTGAAAATATCCAAAAGTACAGCGTAGCCCGGCCGAAGGGTAGAGCCACTTTAAGGATGTATTACACCCTTTTCACCAAAATTCACATTTTTTAAATTTTCCTGATAAATTGTTGATCGGATTGACGTGAAAAATATACCGTTTTTTGCATTTTATTATTACTTAATAAAATTCTTACTTAATGACATTTATATCATTTTCCTGCGTGTTTCCTAAAACTTTTCGCAAATTCTCAAAACTTGAGAAAAAATGTAGAAAAATGATAGCACAACCATGAAACTTCGTGAGTCAGTCAACAAAACGCAAAAACGGCATATTATTTCGCGTCAATCCGATGAATAATTTTCCAGAAAAATTCTCGTTTTTTTCATTTTTCTGGCAAATTCAGAAAAATTCACGTTTTTTTCATTTTTCTGGCAAATTATTGATCGGATTGACGCGAAATAATATACCGTTTTTGCGTTTTATTGTTATTGACTGACTCGCGAAGTTTCACGGTAGTGCAATCGTTGTCCTGCATTGTTTCTAAAGTTTTGTGAATTTCCCAAAAGTTTTAGAAAAAACGCAGAAAAATGATTGCACGATTATGAAATTTCGTGAGCCATTAAGTAATGATAAAACGCAAAAACGGTATATTTTTTCACGTCAATCCGATCAATAATTTGCCAGAAAAATTAAAAAAACGTGAATTTTTGCAAAAAGGGTGTAATACATCCTTAAGCGTCTCCTCCCGCTGGCGTCGACGGGGTTGAAGCAGGGGTGGGCGCACGAGGGAGCGAAGGGGCGTCGATGGGGAAGTAGAAGGTGGTGGAGTAGGAGATGGCGTTAGTGGTGGTGAGAGCACCACGGAGAGGCTCAGGGGTAGAGCGATGAGGCCGAACGTCAGTTTGTTCACAGATTTGATGGCTTCCGGACTCTGATGCCGACCCACCAACGCTGGTCTGTACATAATATTTTACATATTACATTACACACATTCGCCCCTCCCCCCGCCCTCAATCGCAGTATTTACAGCTAATAAACCCCATTGTCTCGCCCATTTGTTAACTAATATTCATTGATACCGCTAATAACATCGCGGAATGGTACCGTGCGCCAGTCAACTCGTGCACTTGTCATGTGTATGAAAATTGCATATTCTATATTTACTCCGTTTTACATCCCCCACTTCATTCCACACGTCTTTGGTAGCCCATTGACTTTGGCAGCCATTCACTCGTTCATTCATTCACGCTTTACCTACATAGGTATATTACCCCCCCAGAACTCTGGTCAAGCATTCGCTTCTTCTTGAATTATGAATCAACTGTCGGTGTGAAATTTGTGAATGAATTCTCGTGTGTCAAGTGCCTGTAGCTCAATGAAACAAAATCAACGCTTGAATCTTTCGAATGTCACATATTGTACGAAAAGTTTTTGCGGAGTGAGACGATTTCTTTAATTTCAAGTGGATTTCTCCCCCTGTGACGGCGCCAGGCTGTTCCACAAATCAATTAAGCAGGTAGTGAAAAATATCTAGGAATAAAATTCTAGTGTGCGTTTTGTCCTTTCGTTGTGTGTAAACATATTTTGGGATTTTTTTTTCGTTGGGTTTAGCTTTTTAATGTGGTGAAAAGGTCACACGGATGGAGGTGCAAGTGTCTACGTAAAGGTCAACCGGAAGATTAGGTTTGGCGCCCCGCGCACCACTCCACCCTCCCAGGATCATCCCTCGGCATCCCCGGGGGCCTCGAGGACCGTTATTGATATAAGAATTCATTATTACGATATATAGATCCTGGGGGTGAGGAGATGGGGATTTGGGGGCGGGCGGGAGGGGCTGCTGCGACATTTTGTTTCCGTTTGTACGTCTTATTGCATGCGTCACTCGGGCGGGGGTTTTTCGGGATTTGTGGGGCGAAGGGGTGAAACACCGCCATTTTGGGGTTTTTTTGAGGGGGCGAGGGAACGCGGCACTTGTTGCCGTGCTGAGGTTTTTTCGGGTTTGGGAATGGAGGGTGGGTTTTTGGGGTTCAAGGTCGGGAGGGACCTCTTTCGGCTTGATTTTTTGGCTTCCGAGGGGAGGGTTTGATCAGTGGGTTTTTTGACTCGTGCACGGAGAAGAACGAAGGTTTTTCAGAAGTTCGTCTTTACTCAGACTGTTAAAAATTTTTGGCTGATTTTTCCGTTGCACGGAGAGAAATATTCAATAACAATTACGTATCTTTTCCGTAATTCCGGAGCTGTGAAAAATTACGATACCGTCACTTAAATTTTCTGAGACGATTCCGTAATCGGTGAGTCAATTGTGAGTTCCGTAATTTTTACTGAACATTTCTCTTCGTGTGCGAATTCCGGGATTTTTTATCGTGTTCCGATTGCGCTGAAATTTTAGGAAATGTTGTCACTGAAAATTCTGAATTTCGGGGAATAATCAAACAGAACTGTAAATTTCCGGTCCATTTTTCCCTGAAAATTAATAGAAAATCAGAAAATTCTGGTAAATATATTCTTGAATTTTCAGGACAGTGGTATTGAATGCGACTTAGGGGCAAAAACATCATGAAATTTTGGATTTTACTACAAATTCAATGCAATTTGATACTGAATATTCATATTAGATTGGAAATTCAAATAAGTTAAGAAATTCTCGTTTTTGTGGCCCTTAAAATTCTGGAATTTTACTGAATTTTCAGTGAAACCGTAAATTTCATGATTTTTTCCCCTTAAATCGCATTTAGTATCACTGTCCTGAAAATTGGTAGTCAACTGTCCATGAAATTTCATTTTTTATCTAACAGTGTACACGAAGAGAAATATTCCGTAAAAATTATGGAACAATTCACGTAATCCGCAATGGGGAATCGTTTTCCGGCGATTTTTATGGGAGTGGGAGAGAAGAAATCTGAAACGTTCAGTGAATTCTCAGGTTCATCACCGAACACAGTACGAAATTGTCACGTAATTTTTCCCGAAGAAGTAAAATGTTATAGAAACTTGCCGACTTATTATGCCTCCAAAATCAAAAATTCTTGAACGTTCAACAATTTTTATGAAGCTGGTGAATTATTTCTGCGTTCCGTTCCGGAAAATTTCTCAATCGTTGGGGAAAATTACGGAACGACTTGTTGTCCCCACAGCGGTGAGTCATCGGACGGGTGGTCAATTTTTACGGAACAAATCGTAGAATTTACGTGGTGATGCGTACAATTTCAGCTCCGACTCACACTTTTTATTGAATTTTACTTCGCTCGCGGATTACCTTTCGAAACGTAATTTTTACGTTTTTTTCTGGTAATTTTTATTGAATTTTTCTCTCCATGTATATCAAGAAATCCGTGGCTTGTTTATTTTGTGCTTGTCCTATAGACGAGAATTTAGTTTTTAGTTTTTCCACTGGCACGTACTCGGTTTGTACATCTCGCAAGCCGCAGGAGATACGGAATTTTTCGGGCAGACCCATTTTGCCGCTGCTCCCATTTTTTTAGGAAAAAACCTCTACAAGAGTTTCGGTGTTATTTTTTTTTATTTAAAGCATTGAATTCATTTCGGCTTATTCTGCTAAGAATTTCGATATCTTCCTCAGTTTCGGGGAAATTTCCAGTTTCCCCGCTTTTTCCACTACACAGAGAGACATTTTTGATAATAATTATCCTACCGTTCTATAAAAGTGTATCATGGGTCATCGTTTCTTCATTTCTATCCCGAAATTTAATAAAAATTAATATATGATGATCAAATTTTATTCAACGTTAGGGAAATTTTACCCTGACGCATAATAAATTTTACCCTTCCAGTCCAATAATTTTTATGTAGATAACAACGAAAATTCTAGAACAGTTGGTAAATTTTACCCTACCGGTACAGTAATTTTTACTCTACCGGCACCGTAATTTTTATTTTTATCAGGATAAAATTTCTCTAACGTAGAATAAAATTTAATCATCATGTATTAATTTTTACTAAATTTCGGGATAGAAATGAGGAAACGATGACTCATAATACACTTTTATAGAACGGTAGGATAATTTTTATCAAAAATTTCTCTCCGTGTAGCACGTACTCAGTCCATCCTAAATGTGCGTTCCTGCCAAGATAAATTCACTCTAGAAGTTGAGGGTAATTTCTAAAATTAGATTCTGTCAATGTCAAGTTGTTATTGAACATTGAAAATGAGGTATCAATTCTCTGTCTTCCTAATAAATTTTCCATGCAGTTCAAATTTTCATTGATACCGCGGAGTTCAAAGGGGATACGGACATTCATGTGCAGACAGAGAAAAAATTTCCCTGAAAAATTCGCCATCTCCCTGGGTTCCTGAGATATTTATCAAAGACTGGGGTATTTTCCACCACTTCATTATTGAGTTGACGTTTTCCACTAGCACGTACCCAGTCCATGTTAGATGTACAGTCTTGCCAAGACAAATTCAATCTTGCAGATCAGGATAATTTCTAAAATTAGATTCTGTCAATACCAAGTTGTTATTGAACATTGAGAATGAGATATATCAATTCTCTGTCTTCCTAATAAATTTTCCTCGCAGTTCAAATTTTCATTAATACCGCGAAAAAAAATTTCGACATCTCCCTCAGTTCCAGAGAAATTTTTTTAAAAGTAGTATTAGTACTAGTATTTTCCCGACTTGATTACCGAATTTTTTTTTCCATCAGCACGTACTCGATCCATCTTGCGCGTACATTTCTCCCAAGATGACTCAAATTTTGGGGTGCAGGATGATATATCGAGGGGAAATGAGCCACTGGAGGGAGAAAAACCGAGTGGAATGTGGTTGAGAGTAATATGATTAATGGTTGACGCACTAGGAAGAATATTTTACACAAAATTCCAATCATCCTCGCTATTTATCATATTTACAAGCCCTCAGTTCTATTGAATATCATGTCGGTGCGTCGCTGGGCGTCAGAAATGATTTTATTCACTCATAATATCACCGGTGGCATATATTTGCTCAATAATTGACGAATTAAGTGGAATTCTTGATTTTGCCAGTCAATCGGGAGAAGAATTTCATGCACGCCCATTCATCGGCTGCTGACATTAAGAGATAGAGGTATACAGTGCGTGGGATTCAAACAAATTATTGCCATCGTATATATCTCTTGTTTACCCCGGATATTGTACGTACAACGTGGGGAAACTGTACAATCGCATTTACACGGGGAATTGGCGATACGGGATGGCGAGGGGATCGTAAATGATTAAAGGGATTCTAGTGTTCGTTAGTTAGTCACACCCACAGCGGCCACTCTTCTGAGTCGCAGGAATTCATGGAGTTGGTAGTAGAGCGCTTTTTCAGGGGGATGAACACCCACAGGCTCCATTCTGGTGTCTATTAAATGGAGAATTGAGTCGTCGAGCGATGAAACGTGACAAGAGTGCAATACGAGGAGATTTTTCGCCACTCGTTTGAAGATACACAACTAAAACAATGATGTACAATGATACAACTGATGTATCTTGAAAATGCGATGAAGTTGTACTGATTTTTTTTTTTTTTTTAGTTGGTGCATTGTCTGTTTATTAACAGAGATCGGATGCTAAATTGTTGTGATTTAGTCATATGTCTGAATTTCACACACATTTTGGAAACAATTTTCAGACGCCAAAAGTGGCCGAATAAAATGAAAATTTGTCTGAATTTCGAACATGAATTCATCTGCACTGATAGAACGGATTAGTTATTGTTAACGAATGGATTTTGGTTGGATGTTAGGGTCTATTCGGTCCCACCAAATGTTCATTCGTTAATAGTTAACGAATGTACATTTGAGGAGCCTTGTTTGACTTGACTTTCGCCATTCAAGTGAACCATTCGTTAACTATTAACGAATATTCATTTGGTCATATTCAACTCTATCATTCGTTAATAGTTAACAGTTAATAGTTAATAGTTAACAGTGTGTTCGCCTGAAATTCAGAAACAAATTTTCAGTTTATTCGGAGGTTTTTTAGTGTCTGAAAAATGTCTACAAAAGGTGTGTGAAAGAAATCGATTGAATTTCATGATTTCAATAAACTTTATTCATTGACACCAATTAAAATTCAATTTTACATACAGATTCAGTAAAATTATACTTTTGCAAAAATCGATTTTTCAATGATCACTCAAAAAAAAGTCATCAAAATGGAATTAATCATGGCTCAAAAAATTGATAACAATACCCTCTTGATTCTATCAGAAGATGATGGGGTTTGCACAATTCATTGTTGAGTTACAGCATATTGTTTATGCGATTTGAAAGAGAAAATCGGTTTTTTCGTGATTACTGAAAGAATCATCAGTAATAGNGAAGATGATGGGGTTTGCACAATTTATTGTTGAGTTACAGCATATTGTTTATGCGATTTGAAAGAGAAAATCGGTTTTTTCGTGATTACTGAAAGAATCATCAGTAATAGCAATTAAATCAGGGCTTGAAAAGTATATTTCAATGGCTTCTTAATCAAGTTGAAAAATGGTGAGAACAGCATCATTGCTTATCAAGTTACACAGTACGTCATGAGCTTTTTATATAAAAATCTGTCTCTATTAAACTCAGGTAGCAGTCTATTATGTTGAATACTTATTCATATTGATTCATGCTCCCGACTAACTTCCGACAGAACCTGGGTTAAACTCTGGCTAAATCCTGAATAAACCCTGATTAAATCCCGGCTATACACTGATTAAACCTTGATTGAACCTTGATTAAACCCGGACTGAAAACGAATTCGAGTCTTGAGAGGGTCTGAATGTAGAATTATTCGACAGAACGAAATAATACGCAAACTTTTGATAACATTTCAATTGATGACAGTACTATGACCTCAAAAAATCGAAGAAGAGAATAGTGAAACAAGAATTTAAAAAAGAGAACCCATTCGGAAGCAAATTGCTAATTTATTAGCAACAATAACTATACCCATTCATAAAGAAAATGCAATTGAATACTTGTTTTAAAAACAAAATCCGAGGAAATCCTACGGTTTAAAACAATTAGGGATATGTCCTTCATATGGCGTTCGATAACAAGTTTTCCCCCTGCAACTACTCATTACCGAGATAAAGATAATCCATTAAAAAATCGCAATGTCCATACGTCGTTAAAAATAAAATAATCTCGCCATGATTGAAAAAAATTTCTGCAATTCTTTTTTTGCAGTTACACCATTATTTTTCATTCGAAACATATCCACCAGCGACATATCGTTATTAAACTGGCTGACTGGACATTTAATTCTCCGTGAGAATCGATCGTACACGCGAACAACAGGTGAGAATGAGAAACGACAATCAGAGAAATAGCAGTTTAATTAAAATGATAATTTCATTTCAGATGCAAGTGACAATGGGGTTGATTACAGTGCTGTTATTACACTCGTGTGGATTTATTATGATGATTGTTAGTGCCCAGCGGTTCGCTGACTATCCCATGCCACCACAGACCACAGTAATCAGCCGAGTGGCGTACAGGGATCGCCGGAATAAAGCTGAGCCGACGTGCGAGGAGTTGAGGGCCATGTGGAGATACAGTAAAAGACAGAGCAGGGCTGCCGAGTCCACCAATGATTTGCCCATGTATCGTGATCCATTTTCTTATAATATTTGGGAGACTTATCCCATCAGGTCGCAGTCGTCGTATGGGTACAGAGGTAGTCATATTTTATTCTCTGCACAGAGAGAAATATTCGGTAAAAATTACGGAACAATTCACGTAATCCGCAATGGGGAATCGTTTTCCGGTGTCGAATGGGCCAATTATCTTGCCCGATATTTGGGTTGGAAAAATAATCAGTAAAAATTATGGAACAATTCACGTAATCCACAATGGGGAATCGTTTTCCGGCAATTTTTATAGGAATGGAAAAGAAGAAATCTGAAATGTTCAGTGATTTTTCAGGTTCATCACCGAACAAAGTACGAAATTGTCACGTAATTTTTCCCGAAGAAGTTAAATCTTACAAAAACTTCCCGACTTATTGTACCAACAAAATCAAAAATTCTTGAACATTCAACAATTTTTATGAAGCTGGTGAGTTATTTCTACGTTTCGTTCCGTAAAATTTCTCAATCGTTGGGGAAAAATTAGGGAACGACTTGTTGCCCCCACAGCGGTGAGTCATCAGACGGGTGGTTAATTTTTACGGAACACATCGTAGAATTTACTTGGCGATTCGTACAATTTCAGTTCCGACTCACACTTTTTATTGAATTTTACTTCGCTCGTGGATTCCGTTTCGAAACGTAATTTTTACGTTTTTTTTCTGGTAATTTATATTGAATTTTTCTCTCCATGTGTTCTAAAATTCATCCACTCGAATCCGTAAACCCTTTATCATTCGAAGTACTCCCCCGGCATTTTAACTCAATTCATATTGAATTAATGTTTGAAACTAGCCAGTTTCTCATTCTCTGTAAAATAACTTCTAGAACCATGAGCTTCTGAAAATCAAAAACTTGGCTCTGCAAACGGAAAAAAAATTCTTTTCTCTCCCGAATAATTTGCTTCTCTCAAGTAAATAAGGTCTGCATATTAGGAAATTTTTCTCTCAGTGCGCACCACAATCTCCCAATCGGAAATTTCATCATCTTCAAAAAGGACCCCTGACATTCTCCCGCGCAAAGCCACTCATTCTCGCGATAATTGCGTCATTAACAAAGATTTCACGCTCGGCTATGTTTTGTCTGTTGATGATTTGCTTGGTAACAATGGTATTTTCACCGTGGGATTAACGTTTGGATTAATTTGCTTTGTTCACGAAGATACCGAGGAGCAGGCACGCAACAGAGGCGGTGGCCGTGCTCCAGTTTACGGTAAAATGGTCCACAAAGCTCCGGCCGAAGGTAGACTACGTAATGGAATGCCAAATCGTATGAAAGCATTCGAGGAAGTTGCACGTATGTATGGAACTGTTAATCGCCAACCACCGGATCAACGGAGACGTCAATACAGTTTTCGCGTTGGCGGTGGTGCGTCAATATCACACGTACCCCAGGCGGGAAGTTTTCAGCATTTAAAGGAACTTATTCGTACTGAACGTGCACGTGAATTACAAGTTGGTGCAGCTTTTTTTATTCACTACGTGACAGCTTCAATTGCAAGGGTGTTAGAGGGAAATGGGAGAATTTTTTTGCGGGGAATTCAAGCGGAAAATTTTACACAAAAACATATCTTATGATGGGGTTTTCTGGGAGAGTACAGTGTTTTGGAGGAAAATGTCGAAAGATAACAAAATTTATTCAATAGTTTTTGGAAATTTTCATCGTAAATGGACAAAAATCCATAAGTTTACTTTGGAAACATCTCTCAAACTACTAGATTCGGCGACAAATGCCAAAGGATTAAATATTTCCCACAGGTCAATACATTGCCAAAAAAATTGGCTGAATTTTCCGGAAAAAGACGTGGAGTTTAATTTAAGGGGAATAAGTCAATGGAGTTTCAAGTTTCTTCGAAAATTCAAGTAGTTCATTCTCTTTGAGACAGGGAAATGGAAATCTTTCAATTTACATGAATTTTCAATTGAGAATGAATCTTCACAGTCAAATTCCGTTGAATTTTCATTAAATTCTTTAAAAAATTCCTAACATTGCTAGGAAAATTAGGAAAATTTAGAGAAATCTCTCCTTGAATTCTAAATTCCGCTGAATATTCAAGGAATTCCTTCGAGAATTCCTAGTATTCCAAGAATTTCGAAGGAATTCCCTGAAAATTTCGAAGAATTTGGAGTTCAAAGAGAGATTTCTTTGAATTTCTTTGATTTTTCTTTTTTTTTCCAGAATAATTACACTGAAATTTGCAGTTTCCACGGATTATCCCATGAAATTATGAATTTTTAATCAAAAAATTCCTTCAAATTTCAGTGGACATCTTACTTGTTACAAATTTCGAAGGCTCTTACCGGAAATGTCAATTGAAAATTTTTAACAGTGCACGCTTTACGTAAAAAACGAATGTTTCCCTCTAAATCCCCGAGTCTTTAAAATATTTATTAAATAATCTGTACTGAAGTACAGATTATCTGTACTGAAAGTACAGAAAATTAATACTTTCCTACTGGAAGTATCCCTTACACTAAATTAAAATTAAAGACATCCAACAGTAAAATAAATTGACTGTTAAATGTCAAAACAATTAATTTGTCGCCCGATTTTTTGAGGAATCTGCTTTTCGCAACAAAACCCTCAAAATTATAAACAGAAATTGATCAATGATCCCCACATCAAACAGGACCAAAGAATCGCGGAGGAGATAGCGGCGAGATCAGCGGCCCTCGGCGAACTGAATAAAAACGACAGACGCAGCAGTGAGCCAGAGTCCCGTAGGCACTACCCGAATTCAGTACAATCATATCAAGAACCAAAGAACGTCAATTACAATTTTCCGGTTGGCCAATACGTGTCGAGTTTAACGAGTTTAAACGACGGATTATTGGTAAATATGGACCCAATACTCTCCCAATAAATGACCCCAGCTCGAGACAAAAATGAAACAAATATAGCAATCTGAAATATAACAATCTATTTTTAAACGAATGGATGAATACAATACGAAAATTCCAACTCTTTCGGAGACTTGACTCACACGATAAACAGTGGAAAATTGGTATCTGCTTGGCAAATTTGTATGGAGAGCATTCATAATGTCTGAACATTCATAAGGTTCGATTTATTGGAATTGGCGGGAAAGTAGTAGAAGTCCCCGTGTGTCAGCCAAATCATATTTGCTAATGTGTGATTATTTTGATAATCAGCGTCTTGTCTCTAGCTAAAATCAACATTAATTTTTAGCTAATATTTACAGTGATATTTAACTAATATTTACATTAATTTTTAGTCCAATTAATTCATCATCGAATTAATTTTTTTGAAGATTTCTCAAATTTAGACGAGTTGGCGTTCTAAATCCAATTGCATTTAATTTTTGAGAAAATTTACCATCTTTCGAGCTACTTGAGAATGCCCAGGGGTTCCTGATTAGCTGAAATCCACATTAATTTTTAGTTAACAACATATTTTTTTAATAGAAAATTGAATTCTCTATTTAGAAAGTCTCTTAAAATTGTCACTTATCAACACATTTTTCTTTAATTGTCATTAATAACAACACATTTTTTTATAGAAAATTGAATTCCCTATGAAAATAGTCTCTTAAAATTGTCATTTATCAAGGGTAGAACAACAGTATAAAAATGATATTTATTAGAAAATCTTTGTGGAGGGCATTAATAATATACACTTCCGTCGTCGACTAGTCCAAAATTCTAGTAAAAAATGTCAGAAAACATTTTTGCATTAAAGAGAATGGAATTCTCCAAAAAAAAAGTCTTTTTATGTCGTCACATATCGAGTGCCCGAAATGTCAATTACAATTTTTCACCCACCGAATGGCTTGAACGATGGTTTATTGGTAAATATTGAATTCCCCAATAAACGACCACCGAAACCCCATTAATGAGGTCAATACTAATCAAATATACCGTGTATTTGGGTTACAGAGGAGTGACGACTACGAGAGAGACTCGATGATTCGTCAATAATCAAGTGGCAGTAATTTCGAGAGAAGTAACGTGAACTGCCCCCTGTTTAAATGGTAACTACAATTCTACAACGGCGATCTAACGATTCTTTACGAGAAGAGATCAGGTATTTTTCCCCCTCTTTAATCGTTCATCTGTTACTCGAGATGTTGAATTTCGAGGTGGAAATTGGGATATCATTGTTCGAGGAATGTTTGCGGATATGGGATTAGGAGTTACTGACATATCCGAGGTTTATGCGTGAATTAGTGAAATGAGGAGATTAATCGTCCCTTTCCATTAATTGGTAATGACCAATTGATGGAGAGGCGAAATCAAAATTGCGGGTAAAGTGATGAATGGACTCTAATTTTATAGATTCTTCCCTGAAAATTCATGAAATTCCTAGGTGCGGGGGGAAACGTTGGGAAACTTTTCTTCCTCGAAGATTTAGTCAATCCTAGTGGTGAGATGAAGAGACGAACAAAAATTGATGATGTTCGTTTTGGAAATGTTTTTTAGGGGAAAGGAACCAGGGCAAAATTTCCAGAAAATTTTCAGAATGATATTTGTAGAGCTGTTTATGCGCTTTAAAAATATTCTTTCGTTTATTTTATCAGTTCACAAGCCTTGAGAAACTTGTGAGAGTGTTTGCAAGATTTTTCAAAAAAAAATCAGCAAATCGCATAGAATTATTTCTGCTATTACCTTCGAAACTAACACGTTTATCTAAAAATACCATAAACTATTTTTTGCAGAGAATTGAATTTCCCAACAAAAAATCTATCTTTTTTTTCAAGTCGAGTAGTCTCCGAGATATTATTTTATACTGCAATTATCTCGAAAACTCATTTGCAAAAGAGATCCAGAGAGGATTGAAAGAAAAAAAATTTAATTTATTTTTTCTCCATTTACATTTTGCAATGATTTTATTATTTAAACATTGCAGGTTTAAATTCGAATATCGATATTGAACGGTTATTAAACATTTTTAAAATCCCAAGAAAAAAAATTACAAAGTTTTGGGGGAAATTTATGAAATAATTAAAAAATTGCGATTTTTGAAAATTACGATCATTTTCTATAAATAATTGATAAACAATTAATTTTCCACCATAAAAATCATACCAAATCGTAATCAACTTATTCATATTCAGAATTTTACCAGAAATCCACTTCACGCCTAAGAAAATTAGGTTTTAGAAATTTTCAACAATTTCAATTATTCATTTACAAATAACGGATTTTGAAAAAATAATTCTGTGCAAAATGTAATTTGAATCGTTGAAATCTATAGTGTTGTCTGTACCAAACTAAACGATACTTGGATCTCCTTAAATACCCCGAGAGCTAAATCGACTATAAATATCAGAAAGAAATTGACAGATAATACCGTTCTCCATGGAAAGCTCTCTTGACATTTCCCGCTGAACCCAGAAGTCTCCGAAGCACTCGGGGAAGAATTCGCAGAGAAAATATGAACTTCAACGAATTCCCAACAGCTTCATCTCAGTCCCCTCAACTGTAAAAAATTATTTCACAAAACAAGTGCAGTTGGAACAAACGACCTTTCCTCGCATTTCACTCGGAGCTTCTACTCACGTCGCGAAAAAATCATTAATTTAACTGCGACTCGTAGAAGAACTGCAAACATCCAACTCCTGCAACATTAATTACCCAAATACTACGAGTTTAATTTGAAAAACACGCTGCGTGGCTTACCGGTACCATTAATAACGTACCACTGTGAATTGGTGCTAAATACCACCCACATAATGCTTTCGTTGAGAGGTGGAAGACTACGCGGAGAGAAAAGTTTGATAAAAATTATTCTGAAAAGTAATGATGAAGCGAAAATGTAGATCAATAAAAAATACGTTACGTGGGGGATAGCTTACAATTCGTTCGGTAGAAAACATATCTACACTGACAGAAGAAATCGATTTTATGAAGAGAATTTGTTGTTAATTTTCGTTGTTAATTTTCAAATAAACATGATTTCATAGTGAATACCAGTTACCTCTTCTTGAGATGCGTTTGACTGAGAGAAATCGAAATTCTCTAGAATTGTAGTTCCTTTCATTTGTTGCAATAATTAGAGTATTTGATTTCTTTCGAGCCAAAAGTCTGCTAATTTCAGAAATTATTGATATAATAATTTTTCTCTACCTGTGTATGGATGCAAAAATCATACAGAGAGAAAAGTTTAATGAAAATTGTATGAAAAATCGAATTCTATTGATTTTAAAAAAAAAGTCGATAGAAGTCGATTTTTCTATTTTCCTCGGCTCAAATTTTCAGTTTATGGAAAAAGACCGAAAAATTAATTCCGCTGCACGATTACTTGACTTATTCAATAATTTTCGTCCAACTTTTGTCTCCACGCAGACAAGAAAATAATTTTATAGAGAACAATTTCCATTAGTGATTCGTAGTCAGGTGGAATAAGCAGATGAAGCTGATCCTAACGAGTTATTAATCACGACAAAAGGTCGTGACAATGTGCCCATCATATCCTGACGAATCTATTAACAGTACCAATGAAATTAACTCATCTCCTGATTTCACTTAATTACATGCGTTACATAAGTTATGATCGAGAGTTAATACACAATTCTCGTTCATTTGTCACCCGAGTTCGATATAAAACACAAAGAGACAAGATTTGTCGATAATCATGACTTATCACATGAATTATAGAGCAATGTAATGTTAATTAAGCTGAGAAATTTCTGGTTGAAATTTTTATTTTGAAATGAGTGAGTGAATGAAGACAATAGGATAATTTTAACTCTTTGAAGACTTGGATATCACGAAATACTGTGGAAATCTATTATTCATCGGCTGATATTTGTAGAGGACATTTGAAATGTCCGATTTACTGAAATTTGCGGGGAAGTGGTAAAATCCCGTGAGTCAGACAAAACGGTTTTCTCTGATATTTTTAAAAACTTTGCAGGTCTGAATTTGAATCTCGATATTAAACTAAAAAACATTTTTTTAATCTGCAAAAAAATTAGAAAATTTACTTTTGGAGAAAGATTAATAAACAATTTATAAACAATCAATTTTCCGCCATAAAAATCATTTGTTCGGAATCATAACAAATTTACTCATGTTAAATTAATCTGAAACCATGAATTCAATCCTTGAAAAAAATCTCCGCCCATTTCCGCTCCATAATCTGCACTTCATTCTTCCACGATAAGATACAAAAAGTCGAGCAAAATTTTCTCCAGTCTATTTTTCAATGTCTCTCGAAATAGTGGATTTATAAAAGAAATTTAGTTGCAATTTTTATCAGAAAATTGAATTCTCTACAGAGAATATGGACATTGGCTCCTGCGACTCGTGTGCAATTTCACCACTTCCCTAAAATACCTAAAAATAATCATAAGAATTCCCGACCTAAAAGCATTCGCTTTGAAAACCTGCTAACAGGGTCCCTCTACGATTTTTCCAAGTTGTATCTACTCGTGAACAAATATCTCGATATCTCAACTATCTACCCCCAATTAACCGAAGAAATATCGATGAAGAGAAGGAAACTCTCGAGAGTCTGATAATCGAATGACTAAATTAACCGCAACTCCTAAATGCTAGTGAAAGAACAACTCAGATAAAAGACTAGAATAAGTGAACATGACAATAATTTTTCCCTCATTATACACGTATCAATATTATACACTATAAATATAAAAAAAATCAAAGATATATATCTATAGTATTGTTATTAATTCTTATCAACGTAATAGTCCTCTCCGTATATTTTATCACGAAGAAATATCAGATATTTGAATCGCTTTTCTCGATTTAACTATTTCCATAAATTAATTAGTAAGAATGATGATATATCAATGACAATAAATATTGACAATAATTGAGAGTAAAGAAATAGGGCTGACAGTTGATACCGTTCGATGAGATTCATTGTGATCTCTTCTCTGTGATGATTGTATTATCAACCAATTCGCATTGATTAATTTAATTGTACAATTGTTCACGTTAATTCGTAGTTATTTAATTCACTTAAACAAGTCATTTCGAATAATTCAACGGCATTTTTGTTGATTATTCGGAGTAATAACGTGATTGACGATGAGTGGAAAATAATTAGATATGGATTCCCTTTTGTTATTCCTTATACATTTATCTAGTTGATAAATTATTCTAGGGGAAAATGACATAAATGTCATAAGATTTTTTGCAGAAAATTTGATTAGCTACAAGAAATGCTTTTCATCCTTTTTCCCCAAAATTACTCGTTATTAACATGAGTGAATAAACAAAAATAAATTCGACGAGTGGAAAAATGTGATCTTAATGTGAAATTATGTCGATGACGAGTGGTTTTAGAGGAAAATAGGAGAAAAAAATTCTCGTATCTGAGAAAAATTTTCGCAAAAAATAATTTCTGATATTTCCACTAAACCCACTCATCATCGAGATGAATGAGCAATTAACGAGCCTTTTAATTGATTTTTCTAGTTATTAATTCAGCAGCGAAGCGGTAAAATGCCGGGTTTCAGTCGATTTTGACTATTGGTCAGATTTCAATGAATATCTCGGAATCCAAGACAGATAGCGAAATTTTTGTAATAACCTTTTTTATAGCTCTCAATTCGTCCTATAAAAAATTATGTAATTATATTATTAATGTATTTTTATTTATTATTATAAAATAATAATATATTTATAATAATATATTATAAAATATTATAATATATTATACTATTATATTATATTATTATTATATTATACTATACTTATAATTATATTATTATAAATTACATTATTTTGTATAGGACGAATTGAGAGCTGCAAAAAAGGTTTGTTGAAGATCTAAATTTAGGGCGGATGTGGGAGGTGTTGTTCCAGGCTAGGCCGGAAATTAATTAGAACAATGATTCTATAAAAACGTCACTATACTTTAGTAGAATCCAACCACTCCGTTAACCGTTGTATTTACACTTTGGTTTAAACTAGGTTGTTGAGTGTCTCAAAATATTAACACAGAGGTTGATGTACGGAATTGTTGAATAATTGTTGAATGTCTTTGATAATTGTCTCTGATAATTCGCTGAATTTGAGGTGATGTATTTTCACGTGATGCTATCAACTTTTCGGGGGTTCCGCGTCCCCGGACCGCCCAACCGAAGGTTCCCGATGGTGCACGAGGGTTGTCGATCGGAACGACAGCTACGTTTCAAACAAGATTATTACGAAAATGTCACTATCTCTCTTAGATTAAGAGATATTTACCGCTTCGTTACTGAATTCGTAATTTATAATCAGAAACGAGTATTTAGCTCCCCGAGAAAAATATAAATTTTGATTTCCCGTAATTTCGAAGGATTAATATTGGAACGATAATATACATATATCATACCCAATACCATCGATATATAAATAAAAAAAATAATCAAAAATATCTCTTCTTTACGCCATATCAATGAAAACTGAAAATAACGATAAAATTATCAATAATTCATAAGAATGATTAATTAATATACTGAATAATGAAACTGATGACAATACTTATATCTCAGAATATTCCGTAGTTATATCCGTATGAAAATTATTCTACGTAATTACAATATGTCAATACTAGGGGGACGTTATGGACGCCCCAGATACTCTAATTGTGCATAAGACAATAAAAAATTTAAATTAATTATAAATAAAAACAAATGACGATGTACGCACGATTAATGAAATCAGATATTCAGCCTAATTGTCCATCCACTTTACTTAGCTAATTGATTAATTAATTAATAATGAAAAAGGCAATGAAATCACACAGAAGTTCGATTAAACCAAACACTCAATTGGTTGAATATTCCTACATTAAATTTAAATACGAATAATTGTAATTTGTCTGTTAAACAGTAAGTCCACAATTCAATTGTTTGTTTGTTATGTTAAGTAAATAAACTATTCAATTAATCGTGCGTGCTAGGGGCGAAATAATCGTAATAATTTTAAAGACTATCGTCTAATTATTTTCATACGTCGTTTCCTTATTATGAGACTTCATAGATACGTCACCATCGCCGTAATAAAAGGTTAAATATTAATGAGCATTATTAATGATAATAATTCAAAGGCTTCTAATTATAATTACGACAATAATGAGAAATAGATGAAGGCCTGCTGCGAATAGTATTTTTGGTAAGAAATGTTGGAATTCGGGAGAAGTGATGAAACGTGATAAGTCGAATGTGTTTGTTTCTTCTGTCATTATCTCGATCATTAGTGGGTTGAGAGAAAAACCCCGAGACTGTTACGTTCAAGGCCCTTCATTATTGAGAAAATCAACGATTAATGAAACGATGAACGGATTTTTTCTGTTACGTTTCATCATTTCATCACTGAGTTGTCTTTGATATTAAAAAATTAAAATGTCTTTCTTCCTTATGATGGATTAATTTGGAAGAATTATCACGATGTGATAATGAAGTCCTCATTTACCGGATTTTTATTGATTGTATGGGTTCATTAGTAATTAATTCAAGGATTCGGAAATTTATTAATCAAGTGGTACTTCAACCTCATCGGCGTTAAAGCTCGATTGAATTTCCTTAATATGGTTTATGGTGTTGATTCCGTTGTGACTGGAGCAATCGATAATTGTCGATAATCCGTAGTTTTTATGATCCGCTTAATTAATTAATATTATACAAATGATAAAAATAAGATGTGTCAGACAATAACATGGCTTAATGTCACTCAGCGGTCACTAAGCCTGACTGAACAAAAAATGTAATACTATTTAAAAAATGATGAAAAGGAAATGGTAAAAAACTTATATTGCATATGATGATGTATATGTACTGTACGTATTGTAGAAAATGTATTGAATTTAATGAATTAATTATTTAATGCGCAAGATGCTCGCCAGTGAGTTATTATTCTCCCCTCCGTGATCCTCTTTTTCTCGGGATTGGAATCGTGATTTTTATTGATTTTATGGATTGATTAATAATTTATGTTACATGACCTAAATTATATTTATTTTTTTTTTCACTCGTAAATGAGATCGCTGAGCGATCCTCGAGGGTTCCGACTTCATTTCGAAGACAGGACCGAACTTTTCCTAATCGCTCTGGAATACAGTGGACAGTGGACTCTGGTTAGAGGCATATTGGTTAGTGTCGAACTTCCCCTCAATTTTTTTTTCTCGCCGCTCGAGCGCTTCCCTCACTCTGTCCCCACGCAAGCCGGAGAGTAAACACTCCAATATTTTCTTCAAATTGCTATTGTCTTCCGATTCGAGTAAAGACGAAAAATAAAATATTCTGCATTTGAATTGTCGATCAAAAAATTTAGTCCACTTCTGGCTGTCATGGGGGGAGGATTTCGTTTGTTTGGCATAAAATTAATTCGAAATTGGATTAAATAAAATAATGAAGCGAGGTAAAGAAAACGACTGTAACATTTTTAATTCACATGGTTCGTTAACTCCAGAAAAAATATCTGTTCTATGGAATGTTAGGTACAAAGCTTTTGTGATCAAATATAGTCAATGAAATTAAAAATATTGATAATAAAAAAATCGTCTGAATCTATATGAATATTGCTATTATAGTTGAAGCTGTGAACTAAAGTTTATCATTAAAATAAAGTGTTGAATTGAGAGAGAAAAGAAATAGTATTTTTCATTTTATCGTTCCCAGTTCTCGGAAGTCGGGCTCGGCGTGAGCGCGTAGTGGGGGCAGGGAAATAGAGTCGAATTCTCCGAATTCGCTTCCCCTATCCCGCAAAACAGTCGACTCTAACCAGAGTCCACTGTATTGCTCCCTCTAACCAGAGGGTGAGCTCTACTGCAGTCCAGAATCATGCTGCCTAAGTAGACGGAGGGACCCAAGGATAACAGCCTTCTCCATTTGGCCTCGCCTTCGGCCCGGCGGCCAACCTCAGACGAGCCGAAAGCCCCAGTGGCACTCAACACGAAATATACCATTTTTTCTTTGTGGGCTTGATGTCACTCATTTTCAGGAATCTGTGGTGACTACGTTCTCACAACACCTCTGTCACATATACAGAAACAATTTGCATTCCCCAAGGACCTTTCCCAAAATGTTCTAGAAATATTCTTCTCTCTCTCGCATTGAAAATAAAAATCCTAATTCCTTTCCTTCTCTTGGGAAAATCCAGAAATTTTGTCCAACTCATAAAACCCTGAACACTCATTTCTCGAAGTTAATTACCTATTTATGACCTCATCATCACCCGGCGTCCCTCGTTAAATAATCCCTCGTCCGCCTATAGCTGGCGTATGTGACGTCACGCCGGACCCGAAAATTTCTCTGTTGGGAGCGCCGAGCCAATTCGCCCAGCGGCCGAAACTTACAACGCCGAACCAATCAGAAGACAGGATTTCACTCATCCCTTCTCCATTTCTCTGACCAATCACGATTCAGCACGAAAACCTCACTGTCCTTAAATACCCGAACACTTGTAACAACGACGCAAACAAAACTCAATCCCGCCTGAGGAAAACTCAACTGTAAATATTCAAGTGTAAATATACATCATCGTCTTTCATAATTTACTGTCTTCGTCACTAGAGACTCCCTAGCTCACTCATAAATCTATCATGAATTACTGATGATATCCCTGAATTTTCATTCGATGTTTTTTTTCTTCTCATCAAGAAAATCAAACAAAAAAACTTAGAAAAATTGAGCCGAGGAAATTCTATAGAAAATATCTCAATAGAATAAGTTATATAGAAAAACAGAATTCTATTTAGTTTTTCTATTGAACATTTCAATACAATCGGCCAAAAACTAATAGAAAGTTGAATAGAAATCCAATAGAATTTTCCAGTCAATTCGCTTTGTTTTTATATTAAATTTTTCTGAATTTCCGAAATTCAGTGGCATGTTCCTGAAGATGAAAACTTTCTCTTCTCTGTACCGACTTTTTGTAACACTTTTAACTCCCTTTCAGGAGGAACAAATAATATTGGAGACAGGTATTCGATACTCCCGATATTCATATGAGTCGGCCCGTTTGTCATCGCCATGTTTCACTTTTTGAAGTCTCATCGGAGTCTTGTTTGGCTGGCCCTTATAGTTTGCCTCATCGTTCTCAACCTGTCTTTGTTTTCTCTGATGAACACCTCATGTGTTCGTTATGCCTCCATGCCTGTCAGTAAGTATTCAAAAATGGGAAATTGGTGTTTGCGTAAAAAGCGTACCTTGTCAGAAAATTCGCAAACCCTCACAATATCAGTATAGCGAAGCGGTTTAAGTCAATTTTGACTATTGGCTTTAATAATAATTCAACCGTGTTAAATTCTTCAGCAGTTTAAACAAATTAAGATTCTTAAAAACAGTTGAAAAACCTATCGCTTTCCCTAAAAAAATCTATTGAATTTGTATATCGGAAATCTATAACAATTTAAAGTTTTATTAGAATTCTCTTAGAAAATTTTATTTATTTTTTGCGCCATTTCTATAGGAGATTGTGCAACCTTATCGTGTCCTTTTGTTACGAGATATTTGATGGAAAAAAAGTAAACAGATTTTTATTTTTATGGGGAAATTCTTAGACATCGATTTTCCAAGTTTTTTCCGCTATATTTTCATTTGTTTCTCGTAATAAAATCCAGGTAACGAAACTTGAAAAATTTATGCCCAATAATTCTTATAGAAAAAATTCCAACAGAATAATCTATCATATATAAAAATATTATAAAAATAAAAATATTAATATATAATCAATTACATGTAAAAAACATTATATAGAAAAATCATCATCTATTGACATTTTCTATAAACAAAGATCTATTTAACAACGGAGGGGGGGGGGGAATAGGATCTTTCAATAGAATTATAATAGAATTCCAGTAGTATTCGTATAGAGTTCCAATAGAAATTCAATAGAATTTTAGAGAAAGCGCTAGGTTTATCTCCTAAATTTTTTCATTCGTGTACCCAAAAACCTGAAAATTCCCCATTCCGTTTCCCATCCCTCGCAAGAAGCTTATGAAATAATTTTCATATAATATCATGAGAGAGGACTTTCCCCAGAATTATCAATCGATCGAACGTAATTTCAGTTTTCCATAATTCATCAGAATCAATGGGATCAATGGGAACATCCGCATTGAAATCTGTGGGCCCTCAGTCATCCGCAAATACCTTGATCAACCTTTCTAGGGCTGATTCACCTCTAAAATACGATAAGGATTCAGTAGGCGCTATTTACCAAGGCGGCTATGACGTGACAAACGCAGAGAAGTGCCCAAACAACGGTGAAGGCGTAGATTTGGTGATTCTGGTTACGTCAAGGCCATCGGACCCCAAACCCAGAACCGCAATACGACAGACGTGGGGTAGTTTTGGGCAGCGTGCAGACGTTCGTATATTATTCATCCTCGGTACCACCGAGGACGCGGAATTGGAGGAGCGCCTTCGAGATGAACAAAAATTATACGGTGATGTGATAAGAGGGAGATTCCACGACTCATATTCAAATTTAACACTCAAGTCAGTCTCGATATTAGAATGGTTCGCCACCTATTGCTCGGGAGCCAAGTTTCTGCTGAAAGCTGATGACGATATGTTCATTAACATGCCCCGGCTCTTATCATTTGTTAAAAAACACGAGAAAGACGAAAATATTATATTTGGCGTACTGTTTAAAAATGTGTCGCCGATTAGGAATGAAACGCATAAGTGGTATGCACCTCCGGAGCAATTCAAATTGTCGGTGTATCCTGACTATGTGACTGGACAGGCCTACCTTATGTCGAGGGATATTATCCACAAGCTGTACAGCACTGCACTGAGTCAAACTTTTTTTAGAATAGAAGATATCTTTATTACGGGTATTGTTGCTGGAAAACTGGGGATTAAACGGGTGAAGGCGAGCGAATTTTTGAGTTATAGAATCCCTTACGAGCCTTGTCGGATACGAGCTGTCATCAGTATACATAAAGTCAACTATACAGAGCAGTATGATGTTTGGACAAAATTGATGGACGAGAAGAGCAAGTGCTAGTTGACGTAGAGAGAGTATAGGGAGAGAAACAATTAGTTCTGCCAAAAAATTGTATGTTACAGGTGAGAATATTTGACAGAGTGGAACAGATTTACTTGAAGGAAATTGTTCCATTTGATAGACGGAAATTTGAGAGGGGACGATGGGGTGAAATGGACACTTTTTATTTTTTTATTTTTTTTGAAATGCTAATGACTTGTTGAATTGGAATAAAGTGTTGGTGAAATGGAATAATTTGTTTTCAGTAAGGAGGATAATTCTCTCCCGCAATCAAAAAAGTTTATATTCCTGTTTATCGTTTTAGTTGGATAATAACGTAACATCGGAAGCACGTTGGCTTACAGTTCTCATCGCAGAGAGTAATACTTATTCAATTTTGGCTCAAGGGCTAACGTGAAGTTTTTTAAAAAAATTTAATAATGAAAAGGTAAAATATAATAAAAAATTATAAAAAACTTCATGCAAATTTTTTAGGCAGTGTCTATTCACATGGTCATCGGTAAATTTTACCGTGGACCGTGTGAATAGACACTGCCAATTTTTTATTATGTTTTTCACTCGACAAGTGAACACGCGCGAAACAATTTGATAAAAAACCTAGCGAATTCGCTAGACAATTCTATTGGATTTCTATTGAACTTTATATTACTTTTTGGCCGATTCTATTGAAATTTTTAATAGAAAATATTCTATAGAAAAAATCAATAGAATTCAATTTTTCTGTACAACTCATTCTATTGAGATATTTTCTATAGAATTTTTTAAGCGGCTTAAATTTTCAGTTTTTTTGTTTGATTTTCTGGATAAAACAAAAATAGAATAAAAAATGGAAATTTTCGTTCTGTCTTTGCGTTCAGTCTGTGTTCCAATTCAAGGGTCCACAAGAAACACTTGTGTTTTCTCTCCCAATAAGAAGTCATATCTCAAGTCATGTTTAAAAATTGTTAGAAAAATGTTAGTAAAACTAACATTAAATTTTAAAGTTCAGTGTTAAAGTTTTTTTTCACTCGAATCCTGTAATGCAAAACAAAATAAAATATAGCGGAAAAAACTTGGAAAATTCGTGCCCAATAACTTAATAGAAAAAATCTCAAGAGAAAAATTCAAACAGAAAAATCGAAATCTTTTGACTTTTTTTTATCGAATATCTAATAGAATCTGCGCAAAAAACAAATAGAATTTTAATAGAATCCGCATAGAATTTTCTAGCGAATTCGCTAAGTTTTTCTATTTAATTTCTCATACGTGTTTTATTTCTCATATTAAGAATTATGATGTTGCCACACTAAAAAATAATTTTATATTCTTTTCATGAAGAGATCCATTATTTGTAGACAACAATACTGTAAAGCTGCGAAAGGGAGAGTAATTATTCCCGAAATAACTGATCTAATGATTTAAAAAATTCACCTTCCCACCGAATTTCGAAGTGAACACCCATAAGGAGGGGCTGGAGTTTAAACCTAAAGCATAAAGGCCTTTAGTTTAGGAGGGAGAAATTATCGACGTAGATAACATATCATTGGTCCCCGACTTTTAGTTTCTTATCTCTCGAGTGGACAACCTCAAGTGTTTAAAATGTTTATCAGTTGGATAGGTGTTTTTCGTTGTTCTATCATCAATTGACTTTTCCGTTTCAACTCAGTATTTTTTAATTGTAAAACCAGGAGTGTAATGAAATAATACATTTCGACAGGACTATGGAAAAGTGGTTTTGACGCGTAGAAAGTGTAAGTGAAATCTTCACGGATTCTAAGAGATGTTTCTCTAAAAATCCTGGAAACTGATAATTTTCAGGAATTTTTACGCATATCCAGTATAATTGGAGAGAAGGGTTCGGTAAAAATTATCCATAAAATCAGGACAAATTTCACTGCAATTGACGTGAAAGTAAAAAATACATTTTTGAGATAATCATGATTTTTAAAAATCACTTCTTTTCGATCGTGTCAACAGAAGCGAATGCAGAGTTACGTCTCCTTTTGAAGTTTGTTTTTTTAGGTTTCTTGAATGTGTTGAAGTGAAACTCGATGACTCTAAAAGAGGCGAGAGCATTAATGATGTGAAAAAAAATTGTTCGTCGAAAACTGAAAATTAAAATAAAAAAACGACGACTTCTGCAATTATCAATACTCTTCAGTGATTTTTCTTATCCTTATCTAATCTTCAACTGTTTTGGAAAAAAGATAAGAAAATCCCCGATATCGAAATCTCTGGGCATCGAATTTGGCGGGGAACTGCTCATTTGAAAAGATATAGATATCAAGATGAGAGAAAAAAAAATAGATTTGAACTCTATAAACAGCAAGAAGCCGTTTCTCCATTAATGACTAAAACCGCGACGTTTTATTTTGTTTTTTATTAAAAAATGTATTGGACTTAATGAATTAATTATTTACTGGGCCGGATACTTACCAGCGAACGACTATTCACATCTCCAGAATTCTCTTCTTCTCCCATTTTCTCTCGGGTTAAAAAAAATTTTGCAGCAACAACAAGATTTAAACTAAAAATGCTTTATTAATCACGTAGTCGAATGAACATCCACAATTTGTCTGCACCGGATGCACGGTTCGCCTTCACTGGATTCTGGGTATTTTCTGCATCGTTTGCACAGTGAATATTCAATCGGTTTAACGTCAATCTTGGGAGATGTGCATGAGGGATCTTCAATTAGAGTGACTGACGAGAGCTGTAGAATGTTGGATAATTCAGATGTAGTTGATGTTCTTTCATTCTGAAGTTTCTGTAATCATGACATCAATTCAATATTTTCAATTTAAGTTCCATTTTCTTCCTCTTCTACGTGCCCTTCCGGGTTTTTAAAATTTGCTTCACTCCCACTCCCCAACCCCTTGTACTGCATTGGCCTATTTATTATAAATTCATAAATTTTTCGCGTCTTTAGAGTAGAGTAAAAGTTATGAAATTCAAAATTCATTTATTCATAATCTATTGCGAATAAAGTAAAACGGATGCTTAGATTTATTCTTTTGAGTGCAACAAATATTTAAAAGAAAAAGGTAAAATTGTATGAAAACTATGGCGCAAGGAGAATTTTGAAGGTAAAAACAGGAAAAAAATGAAGTTTTTTTAAATTTCCCCGATGTATCCCCTTAAAAAAAACATTTGCTTTGCCCAATATTAACTCTCAACAATTCCCCACTAACTTTTAATTCCCTTTTAAGAAAGAACGACGTCAGAGACTGCTATTTGATCCGCCGAAAATCCCTATCTGATTTGACTCATTCGTTATCATCATGTATCACGGTTGGCGATCTCCTCGCTGTCTTGCTCTGCTGACCTTCATACTTTGCCTCATCGGTCTCAACCTGCTCGCGTTTTCTCAGATGACGATCCGACATATTCGTCCGGCCGCGGTGCCTATCAGTAAGTATTCAAAAATAAAAATTTCCTACTTCTGTTCGCGATCGCAACGTAGATGTGGGAGCCATCAGGTGGTCTCTAAACGATCTACTATTGACAACCAATGAGGTCATTGAGTTTGCCTCGATCGGATTGGTTGAGCCCCATCATTGGTTCCCTCCTAGGGATGTGATTGGTTGTCCCCCAAGAGTAGTTAGTCTCGGGTCCACTTGGCGACGCTCACATCTACGTTGCAATCGCGAATTTCATATCTCACGATTTCAGTATACAACAGCGGCCACCACAAACATTATAAAAATATCATTATTTGTTTTTATAATTTTTTCATTGTTTAAAGTGCTCAATTCTGAATTTGAATTATTTACACTGTCGTTGGTTCCAGCGATATTTGGTATTTAACGTCAAGATTATTTCATTTTGATTTTTCGACATACAGTATGTCAACATTTTTATTATTTTTGTTATAATTATTATCACTTTTTTTTAGTTCTGAACTTCAACATTACATTCTTTAGAAATTTATATTCTAGAAAAATATTTTTCTGCCCTCCGGCCGGAAAGCGTCAACTTCCTGGCCGCTGCGCTAAACGAAGTTGCCACTTTCCGGCTACGTCGAGCAGAAATAGTAGATTACACACCTTGGCCAGTAAATAAGAAAGCCTCAGATCACATGTAATTGTCGGCCGAGGCGAAGCCGAGGTCAACAAACATGTGATCTGAGAAAAGTCGCAACTACGGAAAGTCGCAACTTTGTTTAGCGCAGCGGCCAGGAAGTTGACGCTTTCCGGCCGGAGGGCAGAAAAATAGTATACACACCTTGGCCAGTAAAGTAAGGAATGTCTCAGATCACATGTAATTGTCGGCCGAGGCGAAGCCGAGGTCAACAAACATGTGATCTGAGACAAGTCGCAACTACGGAAAGTCGCAACTTTGTTTAGCGCAGCGGCCAGGAAGTTGACGCTTTCCGGCCGGAGGGCAGAAAAATAGTATACACACCTTGGCCAGTAAAGTAAGGAATGTCTCAGATCACATGTAATTGTCGGCCGAGGCGAAGCCGAGGTCAACAAACATGTGATCTGAGACATTCTTTACTTTACTGGCCAAGGTGTGTAATCTACTATTCTAGAAAATTCTCTAGAAAAATATTAATGCAATAGTGCGTTGAAACTTTTAAGCTATTGCGTCTACGAGAAAATACATTAGCGCCTAAATACAGGTGTATATTTAAGTTTAGTTATCGATGCCATAAGTTGTAAAAAATAGGAGCCGAAAAATCTGGCGCCAGAAATCAACACAAAAAAATCGGAGCCAAAAAGTCCTGCTCCAGATATTATATATACGCCTTCACTTTTGTTTTGAATTTAATTTGATACCACAATACCCGTACACCTACATGAATTTCCTCAATAATATATGAGTTGATTCAAGTAGATAATTTACACTTCGAAATTAATTAATTCATTAAAGTCCGTGGTGGTATACTGAAGCCCCCCTCATAAAAACCTCATGCAATAATTTTCCTGTAATCTTAGGAGAACAGGCATCCTTCGAAGTGATCGATCTATCGAAGGTAATTGTCCACGACAATTCGTCAGAATCAATGGGATCAAAATCCATACCAAAACCTGTGGCCCCTGAGTCTTCGGCACCGAAACCTCTCAAATTCCCTAAGGATTCATTAGGAGCCATGTATCCAGGTGGACACGACGTGGCGATCCCAGACAAGTGTCTAAACAAAGGTGAAGGCATAGATTTGGTGATTGTAGTTACGTCAGAACCATCGCGCCTGAAAGCTAGAACCGCAATACGACAGACGTGGGGTTCTTTCGGGAGTCGACCAAACCTGCGCGTATTCTTCATCCTCGGTAGGACAGAAGACACGAAATTGGAGAGGCTTCTTCAGGACGAGCAAAAGTTACACGACGATATGATAAGAGGTAGATTCCACGACTCATACTCGAATTTAACACTCAAGACAATTTCGTCACTGGAATGGTTCGACACGTACTGCTCAGCAGCCAAGTTTCTGCTGAAAACTGACGACGATATGTTCATTAACGTACCTCGACTCGTATCGTTCGCTAAAAAACACGAGGCGGACAGAAATGTTATATTCGGTCTAAGGGTGCAAAATTCGCAGCCGATTAGAGATAAGAACTCAAAGTGGTATGCCTCTTTGGAGCAATACAAACCAACAGTATATCCTGACTATACCATTGGAGCTGCCTACCTCCTGCCGACGGATATCATTCACAAACTCTACGAAACTGCCCTGAGGGAACCGTTTCTTCGAATAGAGGATGTCTTCACTACGGGCGTTGTTGCCCAAAAGCTCAAAATTAAACGAGTGTATGCGAATGAATTTTGGAATCAAGCCATCGCTTACACAGCTTGCAATGTGCAACGTTACATCAGTATCCATGGGGTCTTGCCTAGGGAGCAGTATGATCTTTGGAAAAAACTGTTCGATGAAAACAGCAAGTGCTAGTCAACGTAGAGGAAGTATTTCAGCGAGTGGTAATGTGAACGTGTAAGGGCTCAGTCAATTTCCCGAGGTAACTGATTGCTTCGTCAATTAACAGGAATGAGAATTGAAATGAACAAGAATCTTGAGCCGGACTCAATTGGGTAAAGGAGTTGAGGGGAATGTCCGGGCCGAATTCTGGCCTTTGCGGGGATGGCACCAGTGCGTCCCCGTCGCGAACCGTGGGTAGTGTCAAGTGCTGGTGAGGCTTGATACTTTAACCCCTCAAAGACGGGGTCCATATACGTATATGGACCCAAGGAAAAACGCATGATTCTGTTCAAAACTGGAGAATTCCAAAACTGTGACAGATAATCCAATTCCGCCACCGCCATTCGAAAGCTGGATAGTGTAGCTTCAATGTTTAATGCGTTTTATAATTTTTCATGCACCAGAATTGATCTCAGTAATATTAAGCGCACGTCAGGCTTCCTAACAGAAAGGTCCCGTACGGGAAGGAGTAATAAAAAAAGTATGAATTTTTACGGTTACATCGTAATTTTTTTCACGTTTTAAAATGTTGATTTGTACTCTCGCGCCTCCTACATTTCACTCTACGAAACAGCAGAAATAACTATGTTCCCATAGTAAAAAATACTTTTCCGTACTGATCTTCACTTTTCCTCGTCCAAGGATTGGTATTGGCCCTTCTCCAAACTCGTAAAAGTGAAAATCACCACGGAAAAATATCGTTCACGGCTAGTGCTATGGGGTTTTTTTACTCGCGTGGTTAGCCAGTCCTCGCCTTCAGCTCAGACGCCAACTCCACGCGAATAAAACCCCATGGAATTCGCCCTGAAAGATACTATTTATATTCTTTCCGTGTCACGCGTCATCCTCATTGTACAATCATTGCACTTCTTTTATCACCTGTTTTTGTAAAACCCCATGCTATTGAAGCACCGTAGTTTTCCAGACGCGCATTGTCAATGAATAAATGAATAAATTACAAGAAAGCGATGTAAATTGATAACGATAAGAACAGGAAGACTAATTTTGTACCCACATTTGCATTTTTGTATGTTTTTTAGCAGAATAAACCGCACGGTTTGAATGCTTTAGCCAGAAAAAAAAAACCTTCCTCCCAAAGACACCCCCAAGAAGATAGTAATCCTTACCGATAGATTCCTGAAGTCCTCCGCGCCAACCGTAACGGTCCCCTCCATCACCAGACTATTCCCGCTGACAGCCTTATTCACCCATCCCCTAACCGCCAAGGCCGCTCCAACGACCCTCTCCACCTCCGCATCGTCCCACTCCCCCGGAGGGTCACAAGGCGTCGACCTATACAAGCTCACAGACGTCAAATTCTCCGGATGATGCAGCCACACCTCCTCAGCCAGAAACGGCAGGATAGGAGCCACCGCCCTGGTGACGACCGTCAGAATATCATCAACAACATCCACAGCGCCGATCCTCACAGGGCTGTTCCCTCTCTCGCAGTACAACCTGTCTTTCACCAAGGAACAATACACCGCAGACACATCATTGCTGACAAAGTTAAGAACAGTCTTCGCCACGTGATGATACTGAAAGTCATCATAGAGGCTCTGCACCTCTCTATTAAAGTGATAGAGCTTGTGCAGCATGAACCTGTCCAGGAGGAGGTATTCAGCCTTGACCTCAGCCCCACCAGAAACCTCTTCATGAAGTGCCCCCAGTAGGAACCTCAGAATAGCCCTGATCCTCTGAACGCTCTCGGCGCTTTCCTTGAAGATCCCTTCGCCGATCGGGATCTGGGTATGCTGCACCCCGTGACTGGCTACCCACCACCTCAGAACGTCAGTTCCCAGAGCGTTCGCCTCACTCTTCCTCCCCTTGATGATGTCCTCAGGGCTGATAACATTCCCCAAAGACTTCGACATCTTCTGCCCACTCTTGTCCACCGTAAACCCGTGAACGAAGATGGAAGCGAAAGGCGCCTTCCCCTGGATCGCAACAGAGGTGATCAGAGACGAGTGGAACCACCCGTTGAACTGGTCCATCCCCTCGAGGTAGAGATCAGCGGATTTCGTAGGCAAGACTGAAGACCACGAGATGCCAGAATCGAACCAGATGTCCATGATGTCCCGCCCTTTCTCCAAATCCTCTGGGTTCAACCTGTATTTCTTCAAGATAACCTTTCCCAGGAGTTCCTCAACGGTAAGCGCCCACCAGGAGTCGTCCCCCTGCTCTTGGAAGACCTCGCAAACCCTCTCCACGATCTCTTCGTTGACAACTACGTCCCCCGTTCGTCTATCGTAAAACACTGGAATGGGAGTGCCCCAAGACCTCTGTCTGGAGATGCACCAGAAGGGTCTCCTCGAGATCTGCTGACGCAAGCTGTTCATGAAGACACTCTCCTTCGTCTTCGGGAAGAACTTGGTGGTCTCTACGGACTCGAGAGCTTTCTCTTTGAGGGCTTCGGTGTTGATGAACCACTGGTGGCTGGCCCTGGTGATCACGGGTTTCTTTGTTCTCCAGTCGTAAGGATAGCTGTGAACAATCTCCTCTGTGTGAAGGACGTCGTCCGCCAGGCGGGTCAACACAGCTGAGGTGCCAGCCCTCAAGACCTCCAGCCCCTGGAACTCCCCGGCGTCTTCGTTGAACTTTCCTTCTTCATCGACTAGGGACTTGACGGGAATATTGTGGGCTAGGCACACCAGGAAGTCCTCGTTCCCGTGGGCGGGGGCTGTGTGGACGATTCCTGTTCCGACTTTATCCGTCACGTGGGGAGACTCCAGGAAGGGGAGAGAGTGTTTCCCGATTGGGTGGGAGTATTCCGAGAGCTTTAAGTCCTCTCCGGAGAGGGTGAGAACCTTTTCGAGGGGTCCGAACTTTTCGGAGACCGAGGGGAGGAGCGTCTCCGAGGTTATGTAGAGGGTTCCTTCAGGGTCTGTTGACAAACAGTAGGGAATGTCTGCGGAGTAACTCAGGGCCTGGTTGGAGGCCAACGTCCAGGGAGTCGTCGTCCAGGTCAGAGCGTAGATCTCTTTGTTGGAGAATTGCTCGAGGACTGGGGGGAGCTTTGTGAGCAATAGGCGGACGGTCGCACATATGCTCTTGTGGTTGTCGTTGTACACCAGCTCTGACTCTGCCAATGCCGTTTTCGACGAGGGGGACCAGTAGACGGGCTTAAAATCCCGGAAGATGAGGTTCTTTGAGTAGAGCCTCAAAAACTGGTGGAGTTGGTTGTTTATGTAGGATTTCTCGTGGGTGAAGTAGCACCCGGAGGCCCAGTCCGCCATTACTCCCCAGGAGGTGAAGGCTTTCTTTTGCTTTTCGAGCTCTTGTTGCGCGTAGCCACGCGCCAGGGTACGGAGCTCTTGGGGGGCGAGGGGGGTGCGGTTTTTCGAGGTGGAGAGGGCTTTGAGTTCTATGGGGAGACCGTGGCAGTCCCAGCCGGGGACGTAGTGGACGCGTTCCCCACGGATCACCCGGCTGCGGAGGGTGATGTCTTTGAGGATTTTGTTCACCGCGTGACCCATGTGCGGGGCACCGTTGGCGTAGGGGGGACCGTCGTGCAGGGTGAAGTCCGGGGGCGGGAGGTGCGATCTTTGCCAGCTGTATAGCTCGGAGAAGCCGCATTTCTGGGGGGAGGGAATTGGAGACGATGCGATAATTTGATAGAGTGACAACGTTTTTCGTCACTTGGGGGGAAATACATTCCATACATTGTGATGGAAAACAGGGGTCGACACTTGTGCGAAAAGTGAAATGTACTATTTCATCAATTGTGCGTAACGTGAACGCACTCGTATCGAAATATACTTTTACAGAATAACGAATCTGGGAAAAAATAGACCAAGGGAAATTTTCAAGTTGAGTGGGTTTTAGCATTTTTTTAGGTGTGGGCTATTTTTTCCGCCTACCAAATTTTTCAGAACTACTAAATCTATTTTGGAGATGAACATTTTTCATCTCAGGACAGTCTTCAAATGGTCAGCATTAATTTCAGTAGCGAAGCGGTAAACCGGGTTGAGTCGATTTTGACTTTTGGCTATTTTTTGACAAATATCTCGGAATCTAAGAGAGATAACAAAATTTTGCTCATTACCTTTTTTATAACCCTCAGTTGACTCTACAAAAAAGGTCATGACAAAAATTTTTCTATCTCTTTTAGATTCCCAGATATTCGTCAAAAACTGGCCAATAGTCCAAATTGACTTGACCCGGTTTACCGCTTCGCTACTGAATTTGATTTTTTTGGTGATTTTTAGCTAGGCGTTTTTTAAATTTGAATAAACGTTGCTTGGGAAAATAGGGAAGGGCGGGGTAAAATGGACACTAGACTTTTTTTATATGTTTATAACTTACTGAATTGTTGATGAAATTAGATAATTTTTTGCTACTGAAAAGGACAGTTCATTCTCTTTGTGATCAGCCTATAAGCTCAATTGATAAATCTGTTTCTGAGTTACGAATATTTAAAAAATCGGAAAAAGTGTCCCTGTTACCCCACCGGCCCAATTTTTTTTTTTATTCAATTTTTTCATACAACTTTTTTCTCATGTATTTTTTTCATGTAGAACTTGAATTTCTCCTTTAAAAAAATGAATATCTCCCTAACATTCACAAACAGTGAAAAAACCTCATCTTGAATTTAAGTTTACTCCCTGCAAAAATAAATGACTCCACTAATATTTACAATTAAGTAATTACTGTCAAAATCACATTGTTAATAATAATTAATAATTGATGTAATTTATATAGTTCACAATTAATCATTTTTTTCTAAATTCAACAACTGAAAAATGAAGACTTACCTCCAACAAATAATTATCCATTTCCACTCTCTGAGCTCCATTCAATCTCAGAGGGAATTTTGTCTGTGGTAATAACACTGTACTTGTGTATTTTTTGTCATTCGCCTTATCAACTTTGGCATAGTACCTCAATGCCACTCTATTAAACGAAGCCAACCGAATGGACAAAAACTTTGCGGGTTTTTTTATAAGTGACAACATAATATTTACTGAATATGTCAAGCAATTGTTATGAATTATTTTTGAAAATCATTGAAAGCCCAAGTGAAATCGCACGCCGCACCGGTAAACACTGGCCATCATATGGCAGTCAGTCGCGGGGGGACAGATGTCTGCCCTAAAGGGGAGTTTCCACAGTCTTCGAATACATCATCAAGTGCTCCGGGACGTTTTGAGGTTATGTGGCCTCACGGTGTTTATAAATAAATAATAATTAGATAGGAATAATAAATAATGGAGAGTAATCGTGACGAAATCGACGACGATTCCATTTTGTACGAGCTTTTGGAGTATTTTGTTAAAGTACAAGATCCAGAACTGATCGTAAGTATTTTTTACTCGTCGAACTGTCCAGATGTCATCTGTCACTCGCTCCGAAATTAACAAATACCAGCAACAATAACAGTACTGGAAAAACAGTTTTTATTGTAACCAGTTCTCTGAGCCTAATTAATTTCGAAGAATTTAGATAAAAGCGATTATTTTGGGATTCACTTCTCGTGGTCTATTTCCCAAATGAAGGAAAATGTCGTTTGTTAATTAAGTAAATAATTCAGTTGTTGAAGGAATCGATGAATTTAGTGATTAATTAAATCCATTTTGTCGTTGGTTAAAATTATTGTTGATTAGACAGGAGAAAATTCTGTTCATTAATGGAATCAATCATTGAAATTATTAATTTTAGTACAGTGAAACTATTGTTCAATAATTTTGTCGTAATAATCAGTTGTCAATTAATTAATTAAATGAGATTCGATGAGGAACTTGTCATTGATCGATGGAAAATTCAACTGCATTATTTTCCTGGATATCCCAGTTTTTTTCTTGGTCATTGGATTGAGTACATTTTTTCATATTGCGCTCCATTTTTATTTTTGGAGTCTTCCACTAGGTGAATTATTAATTTGAGAGTAAATCCTATAAGAGCTCATGCATAAGAAAAAAATTATTTACTTTATTTCATTGAAGCAACTAATTTCTTTTATCCATCAGAAATGTTGGTTTCGTGTTGTTAATCATCAGCCTAAAAAAATTCAGAATTTACCTCGAACATGAGACAATTAAATTTTCAAAAAATTGATAAAAATCCTCAATTCACATATTATTTCAGAAATTGGAGAACGACACAAATAAAAACAATGATTTTGGAATTTACTTCTGACGATCTATTTCCCAAATGATAAAAAAGCTCATTTGTTAATCAAATAAAAAGTCTTATTTAATTATTGAATCTATCGATTAATTAACTAATCAACTGAATTCTATTACACAATTTAAAAAAATCAACTGGAAAACATGAAAATTCTAATGTAATATTCAACGTCTTGTCCTAAGAATTCCATTTTATTCGACTTCACATCCATTTAATATCAATTAGTTCATGACTTCCCCCATTCCTTCAGAAATGGAAAAACGACACCGCAATTCTCTCCACCCCGGGCACGATAAAGAACGCCCTGCGCTACTTGAACAACCGCTACTCCCTCCCGGAGTCCATCTCCCAGCAGATAAGCCTGACCCTTCCCTGGAAGTTCTCCATCGACCCCAACGGTCGCCTCCTGGCGCTCCTCCTGGAGAACTCCCTGGAGATCCGCAAGTCGAAGGACGAGTTCTCGTCAGTGATATCGAAGGCAACAGTCCCCAAGGACGCCTTCCCCCAGTGGCGCAAGCTCTCCTGGAGCCCTGACGCCTCCCTCCTGGTGCTGGCCTCCAGCAACGGCAGCCTCTCCTTCTACAACTCCCTCGGCAACAACATCTTCACAATCACCCCGAGAACCGTCTCCCAGAGTCCGGACATCCTCGAGGCAGGGGATGCCATCTCCTCCTTGATGTTCAAACCTCCCAGGGAAGACAAGGAAAAATGGTCCTACGAGTTTCTGGTGGTCACCTACAGTGGACTGCTGAAGTCGTACAGCATCTCCGGGACTCATGGCTTCAAGCACAATTACGAATTTTCGTTCGGGAATTTCTTTCGGAAGGGAGTCAATGCCTTCGCCTACTCGGAGAAGCACAATCTCTACATCGTTGCAGGTGAGATGATGCGTTAAAAAAAAAATCCTACGTGAAAGGTCAACATATGAGGAGATCTGCGCCAATATATAAAAAAATTTTAAAAATCAAAAAAGTAGATTTCAAATTAAATATATTTTTATTTTAAAAAAGCTATCATTATATTTGCTGAAAAGAATCATTATTCTTTCAAATAATTGATTTTTCAGTTTGATAATTATTACATTCCATTACTATTACTATTATTAATTATAAGAATAATCAACTACACATGACTCATCCCCAACATGAACAGGCCAAAAAAGTCAATGCTGGGGATTTTCGTATGAAATTTTTGACGTGGATGTGTCTATGTTTCCATTATGGAGATCCGATCAATTAGCCCCTCGTGTATAGATATTCCGAATTTTCATTTTTTTCCTCATTGAAGTAGTTTTGAAGAAAATTGCGAGCTAATAAAAAACATTTGCTAGTTAGTACTTTTTTAAAAATAAATTTTCGGAAAATCACCTCTGAAAAAAAAGGCGTTATCCCCTCTATTTCATTATTTCCAAAAAAATTTATCACCAATCGATAGCAAATTGTTTGAAGATTTTTGCGAGTTAAGAAAAAATCGTCAATGCAATCCTATTATTGTGTAAATTAACAATTCCAATTTCAACTGAAAACCAGAGTTGATGACCAGAGTTTGTAACAGAGATGTCAGACAAGTTATGAATGTTTTTTTT